GCTGGAATTATGACACAGCTTGTAATTATAGTATGCAGTTTTATTTTGAATCATACACTGCGCATAAAACAGCATTAACTTAAAAGGCAGAAGTTAACAAATCTCTTTAGGCTGGTGCATATCTAACAAGTCATATATTAATAAACCTATATAATTTGAGGATAGGAGGAATACAAACATATCAGCTCGACAGAAATGTCTGTAGGTTTTGGTAGACAGAAGGTATATCGACCCTCTAGCCACGAAGTAATATTAATAGTACACGGTGGCTACATCTACAGTCTATGCGGCCATTTGTAAAGTCCCCTTTTCTGGTTGTGATCTTATTGAGGCGTGTAATTGTCAGACTTCGTGGTGCGACACCGACGCCAGAGGAGGTAAAAAGGCAGACAGTTGGCGGTGAAGCATAATCCAAGGAACAGCACTCCCAACTGTAAAAAAAAGTATCAGGCAAGTTGTCATCATTTTAGTGACCTACTTTGAATCAAAGTATTTGATCGGTTATATTTTTTTTGTGAAAATGAATATTATTTTTAAATACTCGGTAGTCAAATGTAAAATTGGAAATGTCCACTATGGTTCTTGTGTAATGATTCCCCCACACATTTACCCACGTAACTCCCAAAATTAATTTATTTCTATATTGCCCGATCTAATATAATGCGACTGCTCTAAATACTTACCCAGAGTGGGTCACTTTCTAGGCTGTGCTTATACCAGGAAAATACTGGTAGTTCAATAAATGTGAAAATATACACAATGCTTAATTGTGTTCCCAATGCCTTCCCAAAATGTTCCTTTGGGAACCTATAATTTTAATGATTTAATTTATGTTAATGTTAATTTTTATGTTTTAATCTATCATCTCTACGGTTTACATGTATGTAGGGTTTTACATGTACTTAAAATATATTTTTATCACAAATTTAGTCCGTGAGTGCTACATGCTTGTTACTGTACATCTGACTTAAATTTTTGGCAGCCGATTTATTTTTTATCCAAATACAGTGAAACTAGAAGGTTGAAACAAATGCATGTACACATTGGTGAGATGCAAAACCAAATCTACATGTACTTACGCGGAGGTCATGAATGTCAAATGTAAAGCATGCGTCCCGGTTTTCAACAAAGAGTGAAACAAAATGGCCACAAATTGTAGCTCGACAATGGGGATGATACATGCTATGGATACAAGGAATCCCGTCAAAACTGTGAGGAAAAATGGAACCACGAAGCATCCCTCTTTGTCTGAAACATACAATAACTTCAGAACGTGAATCATTTTTGCAGTTGTTTGATACTATTAAACCATATTCATTATCAAGATCTTGAAAACTCAACGAACTCTTATTTAGTACAAAAGCGTTGCATGAAAGCTAGCTCCTAACTATGATAGGTCACAAGGACACTGTAGGCATGTCATTTAACAAAACGCAGCGACCGTAGTGGCTACTTTTTTCCATGATATATTGGATGTCTAATTAGGCAAAATGCGTAGATAACATTCTTGTTCGATTGAAGAACAAAGATATCTCCGATGTATCGATTGGATGATCAGCGGTAGTAGCATCGTGCGGAAAAAAACAGTTCTCACGTTATTACCTTGCTTGGTTTTCCCGGCAACAAGCTTATCCAGCATCAAACCAGTCAGCAAGGCCCAAAACAAAGAACCCACTTGGAACCAGGAATACACGTCCGTATACGTACTTACTGTAATATAATTTGGATTCAATAAAACATTCATTCAGTTGCTTCTTGCGTTAAGGTGGTTGATCACTGTAGACATCAGAAAAAAATTAAATAGATAGAGAAAGATAGGTAATGAAAACATAAGTATAAAGACATTACCTTTGTTTTTGATATTGTTTCCGTAGTAATTGATCATCGTGTAAAAAGAACCTTGATATGTAATAATAAGAGTTTCCTGACACAAATACCACAGCATCAGTATCCAAAATGTAGGGTTTTTGAGAATCACTAGCGTGTCACCCAGTGAACCAGATGCAGTGCTTTTGGCATCTTTGCTTACTGAGTTTTCTCCTTTGCACGCCATCTGCTTACTTCCGTCAACACGTGTTTCTTTCTGATCGGTTTTGTTCTTCTGTTGATAGCAGGGAAAATAACTAGCAGTTTGGTGGCCGGAGATTTCATCCTTGTCTTCCCTGGCTTCCACCTCTTTTGCTTTAGCGTTGCCTGTCAAAACTGTGATGACCCTTTTTGTGGAGTGAACACCAGTGGTTTGTTGGTGCACGGAACTGTCAGATTCCGTGTTCGGCCCGATGCTTACATCATCGGGTGTGTATGCTTCATTTGAACGCGCTTGTTCCAAAATACAATGATGATCAGACGTCTCATTTGTTGCAGGTTCGTTCACGCCAGATTGGTTGGCATTTTTGCATATACTAGTGTTCCGTTTACATGCTTCTTTAGTGCCGCTGTGTCGTTTGCAAATTTTGAAACAACAAGCTATGTCAATGTTCTTTCCGTCCTCATCCTGTCTAGGTGGTAGGGTGTTTGTGTTGACAGAAGACAAAAGAAGTATGATACCGGTAAAGGTGAACATGCACGTTTTGTACGAAATTCCTGCCTGGTAGGCCAACTAGAATTATATGAATTTTTGGTGAAATTTGAAAGCTTAGACGAACGCCGATATGCAATATAAAAGGTATCATTCTATGATACCACCCCAGGTATTGTTAATGTTTTTTACTTTAAGGAAGAATGCTTTTACTTTTTCAGAACGGTTTCTGTGAATATAGGTATAAATGGCTAAATTTAATTTGTTAATAAAGTTGTTTAACCCTACAAAACAACATTTGCATAAGTGATTCAGGCTTCAAAACGCTCATTAGACAAATAGCACACAATAATTCACACGCACACAAAATGAATGCCTTACCTTTATCAGAATAGGAGCGAAAGCACTGACGTCTGCGGCACCGGCAATAAGACATATAAGTGTTGCCTTTAGCTTAGGAAATAGTCCAGCCACTTGGATGTCAGTTATTGCCAACTGGAGCCCCCCGAGCTGGTGGAATACTGCCCCAGGGAATAACATCCACTCTGTTCCTATAAAAATTAAATTATGTCAATGTGTCCATGCGGCCATATAGGATTCTACATGTTTCCCTTGTTTTTTTTTTTTCAGGACTGATAGCATGATGCTTCAGATACTACAAGAAAATGCAGGATGAAAAGATAAACTCAGTTGCAATTTTGTTCTGATTTACCCCAGAATTATTTAGTATGGCTCTTGCTTTCTTCATAATATGAAGAGGAAATATGCATGGATAAATAAATTAATTGTATCATGATCTGCAAAGTGGAGCAAATATGCAATACATTGTGGCAGACGATTTCTACCATACAATATAATGAAAAAAGGGTTAGGAGAAATTCTTCTCGTTCCCCATCTCATTGTTTGAGCATTAAAGTAGCATTAATGTAATCTTATCTCTAGGCATCATACGCAGAGTCTTAATACTGAATACTTAAATTATCAAGAGTATAAGACATCATTCATCCCAATTTATGTTTTTTCTGATTTCAACATTACTGGCATGGGGTGCTTTTTACGCATATTGTGACGAGTATAATATTTCAATTATGTATCGCTAGAATCAGTTTTGTAACATTAACTTACCTCTCTCAGCTAATGCCATCAGTAAAAATCCACCGGCGCACATGCATCTTAAAGGAAATGAGATTTAACCAATCGTTACGGCATCCCTTGAACTAACCACTCGATTTCCTTAATATTCTTTTTAGGCTTTTTGTGATTAGTGATTTATCCCTATAGTTCGGCAAGTAATTTTTGTCAGCTGCGCATTGGTCATTAATACATCCATTCCAGAAAAGGGTTACCAAAATGACCGAAATGCTTACCGTAGCTTATAAGTAATTAAGGCGTGTGGGATTTAACATTTAAGGTTTTTACATCAGGATGCCATGGGTTCCACATAAAACTGCATACAAATAAAAATAAAATAAAAAAAAAATTAAATAAAAACACGGTAGCGATCACCTGCCAAGGAACCTCCAACATCTATAAGTCACTAATTGCTCAGTTTCTGCTTGCCGTTTTAGCAAAATACAGTCTATTATGCAACTTTATGTAATATTTTGCATTTAAATGGACATAGATACCCGGTATATATATATATATATATATATATATATATATATATATATATATATATATATATATATAGAGAGAGAGAGAGAGAGAGAGAGAGAGAGAGAGAGAGAGAGAGAGAGAGGTGGGCAATGACAGGACGAATCAGCCCCGCTAATTGCTGTACTGACAGTATACTTACATAGATAGGATTCTCACACAAACCGTCCCACAGTGATCATAGATATAACCAAGTGCTAAGACAGCCACAAAACCGACCATGGCAACCGTGTAAACCAGGTTCAGCATCTCTTCCTGCTCAGTGCACTTTTGAACGAGGCTGTCTTCGACCGTTTCTCGTGTGCAATTACCGTGGAGCATACAAGCATGATCCGCGGTGCTAATGCTAGCATTGATTGCAGAATTAAGATGGCAAAGAGAATAGTAAAACTTTTCCTCTATGAATAAATACACATATGCTGGCCACCCAAAGAAGGTTGCTGAGTAGAGAGCAGTCTCTAGGATACCAAGTATGGCACAGAATAGTTTCCAACACGTGGATTGTGCCATGCTGCCCGACGCAAATTGGATGCTAGTGAGTAAATATCTTAACTTGGAATGCACCCACTTTACTTATAGTCACTCAGGCACTTGATAATAAGATGTACGTATCACTCGATGTCTTTGCTATACTGTTGTATGTACCCTGTCGTGTGGTCATATTTCACACTACTCCTTTTGGTTGGCTATTAGGTCTTATATGTTAATTGAGTCACTTGAATGCGCAATTACTCCTTTGTGTGATATTAATTGCCAATTCAACAGAGATTTGTGCCATTAAAACGAAATGGTTCTACAAACTGCTGTTAGGGACGACGTAAAGCATTCTATCCTCCACTTTAATGACAGACATGCATGACAAATAACATGGTGTCTCCGGCTTTAATTATATGAACACACAAACTTAACTACAGCAGTTCTGTAACTATAATTATACTAACTATAACAAACTACACAGTCCTGTATGCTTCCTAGCATCCCGTTAATTAATTATTATTATTATT